GAGTTTCAATAAAACTAGAAAAAAAATAAAAGATAGCATTGATTGACCAATTTCCAAATTAAAGTAGAGAAAAAGAGACATGTATTGGTAGAGTAGAAAAACCAAGAATTACCAAAATTAATTATCATAAATTGTAACATTTTTAGAGAAAGCTTTCCCTAAAGCTCTATACTACAATCTCATGCTCACAACCCACCTGCATCTGGTAAAGTTTCCACTTCTTGAAAATAAAATATGATCTTTGAAAGACCATCTGCTTTGAAAAAATCCTCCATGGTTTCAATCTGTCAGCAGATGATGTTTGCAGAGATGATCAATATGAGAACATTTTCATCGTAATGTCACAATCTAACTTAGCAATACTTAACTGAGGTTAATGATTAAAGGGGTAAGTTTCTAAAGAAATTAAGGTGCTGCGTTGGTAAGAGTGTATAACAAGGTAATTTGGTATCATCAACTGAGTTGATAATGTAAATTGGCCACCATAAAGAGTTTCAAAGCTGACATTTTAAGCATTAGCCCTTTCGGAGCTGAGGTTACCTACAGTATGTCTGTCCATTGGTAAACTGATAATGATGTTTAAAATTCAATATTTGTAGAGATGTAGTATAAGAATGAAAGTGATGTGAAGGTTTGAAGTACAAAATTTTAAATTCTAATAATAATATTTGGTAGGAAAATTCAAGGTTTTGATTTCATTACTTGCATACTTTTCTTAAAATGCCATAATGATTACACATGTTTACCAAATTTGTGTTATTATGATGGTACCACTATTAATAGGCATCATTCAAATAACCATCTAATTACTATTGATGACACCAACAGTAATTAGATACCATTCACAACATCATTAAAAATTAAAATAAAATACTTTTTATAATAATTCATATCAAATTTTATACTTGAGTAATGCTAAACACATACCTGATTCCCTTCCAGTAAAGATTCTGTGACCTCCTCATTTGTTAGCCCAAGGGTACTGGAAACTGTGCTCATCACATATTCATGTCTAAAATCAATCATGGACCTCTTTGCTTCTCGCTCCTCTCTGGCCTTTTGCTATTTGAAAAGCACCAGAAAACTACATTGAGAATTCCCTGCTCATCATATACCCTCTGTAATACTGGGTTAGTCATATTCAATTTGCTCAAGCCACAATACACTTTCTTGATTTTTTTATTAATATTTGGGTAATGTCAGGTTATTCTGAAGATTATAAATTATCACCATAATCCAACTGCACAAAGTAGAGTACAAATAATAAGCAATAAAGTGCAAATATCCAGCAATATTGTACAGTAGGTTATTTTGTACTGTGAAAAAAAAACATGTTTTACTGGTCGGCTGCATGCACTACACTTCTCTTTCTGCTTTGCTTTTCCTGACTTGTGTAAGATGAGCAGATAATAAAGCAGTCATATAATAAATAGCTCATCAGACCTTTTGGTGTATTAAGCATTGCTTAGTACTTTTAATTGTTGTCTGTATATACTCAGTGATACTATAAAATAAAACGTCTAACAAGATATATGAGCAAAGAAATCCTGAAAAGTTCGTTCTTTTTGGCACTACCTTCAATGGTATAATTATTTTCATTGCCATCTTAACCATGCATTATCAATGGATAAGCAAGTTCTGTGCAAGATGTAAACAAATGGTACTGATAGTTTTGAGGAGGGGCAGGGGTGACAATAGGCTGTTTTACAGTTGTGTACTTAGTTGCCTTTGATTTGGAGTGAGGCTGAAGGTGACCTTGTTGTGATAGAGACCAGTATCTAGTTAGCATGATAACAAAGTAATTTGCCTTTGAAAAGCAGCAAGGTTTGTATCATAACAAGGTCAACCTTAGCCTCACTCCTGTTCACTTCAATATTCTTGGTTTGCATTAATCTGCACATTTTTTTTTAACAGAGATATATGCAATGCTAGCTTTATGATGATGTGTGAATATAGATGAAACCTTCAACTGTCAAAGAATTGTTATTTTTATTTAGTTCAGTTTGTATAGCTAGTGGTCTGTCACATCACTGGGTTATTCAGTCACAAGTGACCAATTGGAATCATGCTATTATCACGGCACTTTAAATGTTAAAGATATTGTCACTTACTCTTAATGACAAATTTTTGAAAATCCAATTCTCCTCCTTCCTCCAGAATTTATACTAAGCTTAATTCAAGTGGATTCAGCTTTTTTCTCTGTCATACAAATATTCAAGAGGATTGTAGGGTCTAGGTGCAAAAAGTCTCCACTTTTGTGAGTGTTCAGTGTGGCAACATTAACTATCCTCATCGTGGTCCGATAATTTCACTTTATTATTGATCGTTTTATGTTTTCAGCGTCCAATTGAACAATCGAACGGTTCCATTGGAAAAAATACAACTTCATCAGCTGTACCAACAATCTCTAACATGTGACGTCATGATAACAACTTTCGGGCCATTGCAACCAAAGTCAAACGAAACTCGAAATCAAAAGTCAAAAAATTAACGGTATAACCGATCGAATTCTCGAGTTCTGAGAAAATAGAACATAAGCTCTTAGAAGATTTAAAAACAGCCGAATGTAACTCTGGTCTAAGGTCAGATCTGCACCTTTTTGCATTTGCCATAATGTACCAATCTCTCCCCTTCATAAGTTCCTCAGTGTACGTCTACGAGGAAGCTAAAATGAACCGTGTCCTATTTTATCGTTCATCGTAAATCTACAGCTGTGGGAATTTTCAATTCCTGTGGCACAATTCAAAAAATATCAACGATATACGTTAACTGCGTAGACAACCAAAAGTTTTCTGCACAAGTTTTATTACTGTTAGTTCTGTATATTTTTTTTCTCGCGCTCAGATGTTCCAGAGTTCTCATAAAAATCATTGTGGACACTCTCTAATGCAAACCGATCGTCCATACTTTAGATTTTTAAGGCAACCTTTTAATTATATAAGAGAAGAAAACGCATTCGCATTCCTTCGGCACTAAGAAGTCATGATCGAATTTATGGCGTGACACTAGTCTAACCTCAGGATGTAATAAACATTTACACGCGCAGATTGAAGGTATAACTAACCTGCTTTTCCTTTATCGATTCCGCTGGACCCAAAGCCTGCAATCGAGATGCTTTCTTCTGCTCTCTTTCAGCCGTTGAAGGCTTCTGTTGCTTACGTGAACGATGTCTTCCTCCTCGACTGTGAGGCAGTGGATTACTAGTACTCGATGTAGGTTGATCCGCCATTTCAGTTGTAACTTGCTCGGGTAATTTTCTTTTACGCGTTTCCTTAGATCATTCTTGGTTACCGATCGCTAACAGAACTCCTACTTTGATTCAAGATGTCCCCAATTTGAACGCAAGTCGTCTTATCCTAATCCTTGATTTTTTGTTTTCAGTGTGTTTAGTCATTTCAAGCCACCATCTGCGGCTGACTTCTAATTTCCATGGAAGCAGCTATTGATTCTCATAAACAAAATAAATGATGCATGAAGGCCTGTGATTGGCTGGAAAAATAATTAGCTAGAACTAACAAAAGGGCGATGACAACTTGATGAAAAGTGGCTACAAAAAGGGAGAGTGAAACAAAGCGAAACCCGTTACGTCAATTATCGCAATAAGCCACCAAACTCTAGCAGTTATTAGTATCTTAAACCAAACGAAGAGAGAACCGTTGTCTGCAAACTCAGTTTACGTTTTTCTCAGAAAAAAAGAAGCTACAACAGTGGTTTGTGTGACCTAACAAATTTAAGTGATTGAAGCGGCTGACATAATTTTTTTTTCGTTTTCTCTCTTTGATAATTTTCTTTTTATTTGTTTTTATTTTGTTCTTACATTGTTTTTCAATTCGTCGTGCTCTGTCGTGAAATCTAGTGTAACACTAGAATGCTGTTTGTTTTATTCTTTTATAATTTTTTTTCTCTTCTTTTTTTATAATTGAGGATAGTTGCTATTGGTGAGCCGTAGGGCGCCAAGGAAACCTCTTATCCTAACGGAGCAATAAACGCCAACGATTTTGTCTCGAACCATTGCTGGTGCTCAAATTTAACCTCGTGAATGTCTAAAATCAATTTCGTTTAATTAAATATGATTATGGCCAAAGACTGAGGAAACAAACTTGTCGTTAAGTGCGTTAACTCCCAGTTGTTCCTGCACTAACTTACAACTTTCCAAATGAAATTTATCTCCAGGAGCAAATATTTTCCTAGGTCCGAAATTTTTAGGAGTAAATTTGATCGAAAGAGGAGAATTTCTTGTTCATCTTCCATTCTTACTAAAACAATTAGGCTAATCACATTCTCCTTCCTCAAAGCAAGCTAGCTTTATGTAAATCATACGCCAAAGAATGATATATTCTGACTATTCACGAACATTTTGAAAGGCACGCCGCACACGTACTTCTAATATGCTTTGAAAAAATAATCAAATTAAAAAAATTAATTGAAAAAAAAAAAAGGTTTAGTCGCTTATTTCACAACACAGCGGTCTATGCGTTACCTCGTACCTAGGCTCTCTCTGTTGACTGTCCAGTCACATATAATTATAATCCAGTTCTTCACATCCAAACGTCAAATGTTTCATAAAATGATAAAGGTTACAAAAACTCCCACTGTGAAACGAAGGCTTAACTCTGTTCAAATCAACGAGGGTTGTGAAGTTCGAAGGATAGACAACTCTACGCACTGAATGTATCGCTTTTCGGAGGATAGCGCAATATGTTCTGTTACACTAATCCGCTGAATGATGATTTATCCGGTGGATAGCGTTATCCATCGTTCGAACAACCGGGCCCTATCTGGCTCTGTATAGTAACCATTCGGTTCAGTCTCCAGGTGTCAGTTCTTCAATGCGCACGCGGTCCTCCCTGGCGAGGAGAGGAAAACGAAGGTATCAATACACCAACAGCTGGAGCTGAGCCTGAGTAATCCATTGACAGCTCACCGTGAACAGACGAAGAATTAACATTCAACTTATCATACTATACATACCATAGGTTCATACTATAAGGAAAAGAGAGTTAATTTTGTTATAAACTTTCTTTATTTTTTTCTGCACTAGAAATACCAAATTGGAAAAGAAATTCATCACTTACTTACAACAATCAAACACTTACATGCGAGTCATTACTTGAGACTTGAGGTCAGTAAAAGTACTAAAAAGCACACCAGAAGCTACATGTTGCTTAGAATTGAATAAAGTTGATATCATTTTACATTTTGATAACATGTATCTTCAAGCCAAGCAGCTCTACACTAACATCTAAATTTCTTTGAAGCTTCTAACAAACCATTGTCCATAGGCCAAAAAAGAGAAAATATTCCAACAATGTCTAACTCAACTGAAAGTGGGATAAAGAATTTCCTTGGAGCATTACACATTTGCACCTAAATTAGCTGATGCATTTGTTTGATGTTTATAACAAGTGCAAAAGTCTCACTAGAAACATGCACTGTAGGAACACTGTTCAAGATACAGGTGGATTGCTTTGTTTTCTTTACATGACTTTTTTGGATCAATGTCAGTATCTGAACAACTGTGCACCCACCCCTCCCCTGATCCAACATTAACCCTGACTTGTTATGAGTCAAAGGGTAGGTACACAAATGCTCAGATACTGACAGAGATCTGCTTTTTCTTCATCAAAAGAGAACTGCTGCTAAGTGTAATTTGTAGAAGAACCTCTAGAAAAGCAAAGTTTCATTTAATGTCCATCATACATGCTTCCCTCTGGTGGCTGAGGAAGCTTCATGTTCTCTTTTAGGGTCATCATTCTACAAGTGAATGAACAATAAATTAACAAATGAGTAAAGAGCCCCTTTTAACTATTTACACCCTCACATCAGTATCCATATTCTCCACACTGTTCTCCGCAGATTTCCCATGGCACTGGCAAGGAGAATTTGTTTACCAATTGATAGCTTCTTGAGTTGGTGATCATTTCCTTCACTCTTGTGACCTTAGTGTTTGATTCAGGAGAAATTAGATGCTATTCACTCCTACTGTAGTGGTCAAAGGTTTTATAAAGTGCATTTACAAACACTTTAAGGGTTAGGGACAGTATTTGCTAAGTCACTTTTTACCACTCTCTCGTGTCCAATTTTTATTCTCCCTTAAGGGGAGCGGGTGTCACAAACAGCAGCTGTTTATCCAGCCTACTGTAATGGACAAAAAAGACAAATTTGACAAGCTCATAAATTTTAAGAAACTTCTCCCCATATCAGCTCTATAAATGTCTACAGGGTTTTTGCTAAGAATATCTACAATGTAACACATTTGTAGTTTTGTTCCCCAACTCTCACAATCTGAGCAATAATTCTCCAGTGTGGCTCTTTACATTTTTTACATAGTGGAATGGCCCAGAGAATTTGGTGTTGGATCAGTATAACATTCTCCTCCTGACAGAATTGTTAATTGTCATCCCCTAGATAATAAATTGAATAAGATATTGTTATGGGAAGCTACACTTGAATTTAACATAGAGAGAAAAACTACCTCCTTAGCTCCTGTAAGATAGTTTTTATTGTGTTACTCCTCAACCAGCTTTTTAATACTTTACATGATTTTGGATCAACCTGTAGGAGACAGATATCATGTTAGTAAAAATAAAAAATGTACTTTCATGTTAAATGATAAACAATAGGTGTACTAAAATTGAACATCATTGTTGTGCAACAACTAAAGGGACTCAAATGACTGCAAACGCTTACTAGTGATCCTGAGTGTGTTTTCTTTGGCTCATCCTTTGGTGTAAGAACACATCACTTTCACACACGACATGGAACAAATACAATTGAGCTTAACCCTTTGACTTCCAGATCAAATTTGCCATTCTCCTTACCGTCAACCATACAATTCTTATGAAGTTACTTCAGAGAGTTTAGTATTGGATCACTTAATTATCCCCAAATTGATATTTTTCTTTATTCTCATCACTTATCTGGTTGATATTGTATTGGTATTGTAAGGAGAAATTCTGTCTTGGTCACTCAGGGAAGTTACAGGATAAAGGAATAATGAGGCAAAAACAAAGAAAGCATCTGCAGGTTCTTACACCAAAGTAAGCAGCCATCTTTGCCGTCAACATTGCAGTACTTTCACAAATCAAATGAGTTCTGGCCACCATGTCAAAACAATAGGAGAAAATAGTTCCAATCATGGACTGGCCATTTCCATTGATGTAAAATAGTAAAAAACTTAAAGTTTTTATTATCATTCTTGGTAAATCAATTATGTTTGTTCTTAACAGCGCAATCCCAACCAGGTTTTAAATATGAAAACTCCTTGTACTTCTTGAGTGGCTTTGCATTTGCATCCTGTCTGCAGAATGAGCCGCAGTTCCAAAAGTTCCACCATGAAAGTCAAGATCTCACTTGTCTGTGAATCCTGCACAGATGCTTTTATTACCCACACATTTAATTGAGCAAAAACAAATTCCACTATCCCTTCTTTATTGGGGTAAAAAAAATTAATATATTAATTAACTGGAAGACAAAATAAAAACCATAAAAAGTCTCTGGATAATATTTTGGCAGTTTTGGTGAATGTGACTTTTGTAATTTGCAAAAAATATATCTCAAAACAGTTTTTCAAAATATCTCTATGTTAGCACTAGAGGTGTGCTTAAAGCTCTCCCTGAAAAAAATTAGGGTCACCAAATTCACTTTTGGGTTAAACTACAAAAAAGGCCCAAAAAGGCTCTAAATTCCTGTGATGTTATTGAACAGAGCCACTTAAAAAAAAATAATCAAACATTGTAAAAGACAAGTGAAAGAGTTGATCTGATGTTGTGCTAAAGCTTCTATCTGGAAGTGATTTCAAAGCTAGAAAAAAAGATTTGGGGTTGGTTAGTCAACGCACCATTAAGCTACTGTAACACAGGCTTAGCCAACAAGTGTAGCTTTGTAGACAGTTCTAATCATTTGAAATACTTTTTTCTGTTGCACTTTAAGGTAAAACTCCTCAGAAAACGTAGGCCTTAACCCTTTACACCCTAAGGTCAGTATGTATATTCTCCATACTGTTCTCAGTATATTTTTTAAGGTGCTGACAAGGAGAATTTGTCTAACAATCAAGAGTTTCCTTACTTGGTGATCATTTTTTTTTATTCACGTTGGACTCTTAAACTCACCTAAAGCAATACAGTAGGTGATTGGTTTAAAACTGTAAAACTCTTTTCAGCCCAAAACAGTTGTTTAAAATGTATTTAACCACAAATCGTAATTGAACAAGGGAAATGAAATCCATGTAATGGGATTTTAATCAAATGTATGTACAGTCAAAGAATATTTCTACAAAGTTTTTAACCATTTTTTAAAGAATTACAATAGGAAACTGAAACAGCTACCAGGAAACATCTGGCTATTTTCTATATGCTGTTTTATTTCATTTTCATTTTCTAATTCAGACTTAATGTTTTTTGCCAAGCTTCAAATGATTTGACTGGTGATTACCAATGTTTAGGGAAAATTCCACTCAAAATTTAAACATACCACAATATTTGTTTCCTTGAAAAAGTTGTGACGTTATTTCATTAGTTTTCTTAGTGCCTTAATATTGCTCTTTGCTGGGTTTTCAGAGAATAAATTTAAAAGAGGCACTTCAAGTTTACAGTGAGAATTTAATAACTTTGGTTTGAGAATCTTTTCAAGACATTTCAGGAAAATAACTATATATTTTTTTTCATGTTATCTATTAGTTAGTCTTTTTGGAGGGGGGGAGCACTCTATGGTGATCAAGCAAGTCTATTCCAACAGCTTGTCATTTGACAAATACATCAAGTGGTTGATGTGCATGTGTGTAAAATTATAGCTTATTTCAAAATGGAAATTTTGGTTGTCAAATCATTTCTTTTTCAGACCCAAAAGTTCTTTCTTTTGCATAACAAAGCAACACAATGGAAACATTATATTGAATAACAAAGACACATCAGATGTACATGTACACTGTATATGCATTGCTTTGCATATCCATTAAGTAAGGAACAGTAGATTTGCATGCAACTAAAAGTCTGTTTCTACTTACAACACCAGTAGCATTCACTCCAGTGATGTTTATCCTAGTTTTAAACCGCACATTAGGTGGGTCATCTGGATATTTAGGACCACATGTTATCCTGAGGTTATATATTCGGTTTTCATATACAGTCTGTGAGTAAAGATAAAAACAAAGAAAAGGTTAACCCTAACATCCCTTTTCAAAGTGCTCTATACTGTTCTCTATATGTTTCCTAAAGTACTTACCAGGAGAATTTTCTTAATAATCATGAACTTCATAACCTTGTGTTCATTTCCTTTATTCTCAAGAGCACAATTTTTGATGCAGTGATGATAGTGATGGAAGGAATTGGATGCTTATTCCTCTTAGAGAATAAAAAAAGGCTAAAAGAAAAGATAACATGCCAGATTCACATCACCAAAATAACTCCTTTTTTCATTCATAAACAATTAAATTAAAAATTAATGACAGTGGACAAATTACATAGTACTATACAAGTAGGTTTAGAAAAAGTAAGATAAAGGTAAAGACTACCTTAACCCTTTAACTCCCAAGATCTAATAATTAATTCTCCCCTCAGGCTGTTTCACATCTCTTTGTAAATTAGTTGCATGAGTTTAGTGTTCAATCAGGATAATGACTTGTACCTAATAGGTTTGAATATTCTCACCACCTATTTTGCTGGAAAATATTAATCACTTCTGGGAGTTGAAGGGTTAAGACCAATTGGCTGGAGACATGGTGGCATAATGGTTAGAGCGCTGAATTCCAAGTCCACAGTGTTATAGATTTTTTTAGACAGAATCTCACAAACACACCAAATTGCAGTGACTGATCATAGCAAAAGAAAAACAAGCAGACAATGAATTGCCTTGACTCACAACAAAAGCCTGGTTTTCAGTAATATTTTGGTGACTAACAGATAGTAATTTGGATAAGAACATTCTTCCAAATTACTGAGAATTTCTGGGGAGTGAAAAAATCTAAGGTGCAGCAAATGATTAGTTTTAATCGATTAAAGGGCTGAACTAGTCATCGTGGAGGTGAACTCTTACTGGGTAAAACTGTAGATGAAACAAAATGTCTGGTTGCAACTGATCAAGAATAGGAACCCAAACAACTTCCAAACTGCCCTCTGCACTGTCCGTACGGCCTCATAAATTATCTTTCTGGCTTTTCCTTTGATAAGAAGGGGTGTAATTTGAGTAGAACATTTTATTTGAACTCGAATCAGGCTTACAACAATCATATTTCTCTGATTAATAAAAAAATACAACGATTTTGATCTGATGTTCTAATTAAGGCGTGCAAGCGTTAACGTAACACGTAACCCGTAGATCAAGTCAAGGTAAGCGAGCAAAGGCTTCACTGTACCCGACATCAAAAAAGTAAAAAAAAAATTTCCAAGAAGAAAAAAGCAAGCGTGATTTTACTTTCCAAATACAAACTAAGTCCGTCGAAGGTTGTGATTGCATTGGGAGGTTCGTGAAGCTTCAAGTTGATAATTTCACGCACTTTAAGCTTTTAAATTAACAAAATCAAAGCAAGTAATCCGTTTAACTAGGTTTTAAATAAAACCAACAGTATTTCATAGCCTTGAAAACTTACTCTTGGAGGACCAAGGATCATACCGGTCCATGTTATTAAGTCCATATCGTCGTCGTCCTCCAGGCCCCAGCTAACAAAACCGTCACCTCCTTTCTGACCTTCTTCGAGTTCCTCGAGCAAGCGAAAATTGCGGGGTACTACTGTGAGAATAAAATAAGTACACGATTTAAATGACGAATGAAAGCTTCTCTGACACGAAGCAGCTAATTAACCCAACAAAATCATGAGCACAGAACGACAAAGAGTAACTATTTGCTAACCAACACTGGCACCCGCCATCTTGGATTCTCAACCACGCCAGCTTGAGGCTAAACTTTCCGGTTTAGTAGCCGAGTCACATTCGTCGGTGCCTTCAGTGTTCGGTAATTGTTCGGTAAACTCTCGGGATTACAAACAATAATTAGTTGTTGAGCGAACAGTCTGAATGATTTTTAAGAGTAAGTGAATTAACCGATTCAATTCTCCCAACATTTCGAATTATTGTTCTGCCGGTAGTTGCAGTGCGGACCGAGCGCAGCGAGGTCCGTACAAAACGACCGAGGGCCAATATTCCTCAGTTCGCCTCGAGCAATCAAGGTTGGTAAGTAATTTATTACATACGGCACTCGGACAAAACTTATTCATTTTATCTATAAATAGCACTTCCGGTCTCTTTAATTCAAAGGGCTTTCGCCGTGACATGTTTTTAATGACGCGAGCAACTAAGAAAGACCAAGCCGCCACGAGTTTGAAAACAAATTCTTTCAGTGTTAAATCACAAGAGACGGTTTTCATCTTAAGCTCGGAAACCGAAATGTAGTGATAAAAACCACCATACTGTTCACTGAAGTGAAACTAGACTGGAGTTGTCGAATCCTCCGGCTTCAAAAAAAAGATCTTCGCTTTCGCCAATCGGCAAAGCGTATTCTACTTGTACTCCGCAGGTTGTGCTATTCTCGATTTTTCAAACACATTGTCCTTGGATAGGTTAAATGAATATTTCCTCTGGCATAAGTATCGCTGTCACTGTCTACTTCGCTGAAAACCGGAAATTGTTGCCGGCTCGCACTCATTTTTCCTACGTGTATTCCTAAAAAATATACATTGACAAAAGGTGGTCAAGATTGGATGCAGCCGGGTCGGATGCTTGGCTTTTCATTTCATTTGCATCTTTGTAGAGGACGAGAGTGTTCAAATCATCAGCCACCTTCATTTTTGTTGGAAAGCCTTTCTTTTTGTTCATAAAATATAGACTCCTGGCTTTCAACATGGCTTGTTTCATTGCTTGGTGAATGATCTTAATCTTCTTCGTCTTCCATACCTGTAATCAGTCGTTTGGTGACTTGTGTGCCAGTTTTGTTGTCGTCGTCGTCGTCGTTGTTGTTGTTGTTTTGTTTTTTTTTTAACAGAGAATGAGGATATTTAAGGGTTCCCTTTCCGAGCTTTTAGTTGCAAATTTTGGATTTGCCGGTTTTGGAGAATAAAAATACAGGGTTTATGACCGTTCCTATGGAAACGGTCCGTATGGCAAACCCGACCGCACGCTCGGATTCACCTCAGCACTACCCTGTCATATAATAAAAACGGTTAACGACCAGTTTATCTCCGAGTGACAAACGGGGTGGCAAGATGTGTGGCAAAACATTGTGCAACTTGAAGACTTCCTTTTTCAAGCTTATACTAGTGCGAGAGATAACCCCTCTCAACCAAAAGTGATGGACCTCAACTTCTCCTGTCAATACCAACAGGAAGGTTACGAAAATTGAGAAACGTTTCAGGTATATGGTGTTATTTGATACAAGCTGAATTCTCATTGCTAAATTGAAATGAATTATCTAAGACCTGATAGGCAGAATAGGGAAAAGGATTTTCATAGTTATTTGAAAGGGTTTGGAACACTTTGAAAGAAACACCATTTATGAAGACGTATTCAATAAATCATGTCATTTTTTTAACTTTACTGAAAGAAAATAAGATAAGATAATTAAGAAGTATTTTCCACTCTAACACGCGTTCTATTTTATCAACAACTTTCCAAGGAATCACCCCCTATATTAAGCGTAAACCTCTTATGTTGTCTAGTCAGATAATGACCCGTGGAAAATCACTGGAAGGTAGGGTTGGAAGATATCGAGATGCAACATTGTTTTTTCCCTATGGTGCACCTCAGATGAAAATGTCTCTTCTTTCTCTAGAGCAGCTTTTATCTTTTTTTAAATTAACTAGCGATTTCATAGTTGGCTTCGGCCACACCCACTCATATACTTTTACTAAGGGTGCATTTTTATTAATTACATACTCGTCAAAATTTATATACCCGATTAGGCAACTGCAAGATGCATAAATCTATTTTAGAGTGCGATACGAGATTTTCACACTGAACTATCTCGAAATTAAGCTAAAAGTAAAGTCTGACCGTCATTATCAGAAGAAAAAAAAAAAAAAAAAAAAAAAGAATTTGAGCATTTTCAAATCGTTCAAAAATGCATCGAGTTAATTAAGTGCACCAAGAAAGTTAAAAGTGGCGTTCAAAAGGATGTTTTTGCTGAAGAAACAAAAAATACGAGATAAACTGCTCGTAAAACTGATGTTCACGGCCACTTGATATCGTGAAAGGTTTTCAGGCTTAGTTTCACTGAAAAAGAAAAATTTCAGCTGAAACTAAATGTCAATCGAGCCCATAAATCTTGAAAAGATAATCGAATTTACGCGATTTCCTTTTGTGTTGTAAAAATACGAGAAAAAATCCGACATGTGAAAATTTTCACGCACAAAATATCAATTCTCCGCACGCCTTGTCATACATTAATCATAACTTTTATTCTGAGATTCTGATGTTTCATCAAACAAGTTCCCCCAAGCTGACATTTTTCTTTCTTTTCATGGCGTTTCTCTTTGAAAATGATTGATATTGTAAGGAGAAACTTATTTTTGGTCACCAGGGAGTCCGCTAACCTTTTGTTTAAGTGGCCATAAAGCAAAACCACAAAAACACGAGAGCCTGCCCGCGAGAAAAACAAACAGCGTCAACCGGCTTTCACTAAAAACCCTGCGGGGTCACTCCTGGGTGGGATCCCACACAGCAGCGCAAAAAAATAGAAGTTCCGATCACAGTTGATAATGGCGAATCTGTTGATGTTGTAGTAATCTGCCTTAAAAGCTCTATAAAAAAAAATTAATACGACTTAATCTTAATTGATATTAGACTATTTCGTTAACATTTTGATTTAACCATTGTTATTTCTACTTGTGATTCTTCTCTTGGGGTGTTATAGTCGTCTTTTTTCAACCTTCTCTTTAAACTTTCGCTGAAGTCTTTCTTCAAAAACGCGTAAATCAATGGGTCCATGATGGTGTTGAAAAGCAAAGTATAGAACGAAACATAGAGAAGTGGCAACGAGACCAGGTTAAGCTGATCAAATATTTCACAGATGTTGATGTAAATAAGTGGCATCCAAGAGAGAAGAAACATCCCGAAAATTAGAGCAAACACTATCACCGCCTTGTCTTCGTTCCCCGCCCGCTCCCCCGTTCTGTTACCCCAAGTGGACCGCCTTCGATTTCGAGAGATGAATCGACGCACCACGCGGAGAAGACGCACGTAAATCCACACCATCACCAAGCACGGCAACAGAACGAAGCCAAATACAGTAACAAACAGGTAAATTTTGTGATATTTCGACATCGGATCAGCATCCCAAGCCACTGGAAGTATCGAGATGAAACAAGGTAAGATCCAACACAGGGAGATGATCACCGCTACTCTGGTAGCGTTCATTGTCACCCGGTAACCGAGTGGTCTGGTCAGAGCCACGTATCGCTCGTAGGTTACCGCGCCGATGTTGAAGATCGACGCAAGAAGTAGAAAGGCGATAACATACCCAGTAATTGGCGTCTTCGTCATAGTAAAGTTCTCGCAAATGTAAATCGGAATGAGCGCAGCAGCTATAAGTAGGTCGGCCACCGAAAGAGACACTATAAATGAGTTAGTAATTGTCCACAGCCGTCGGTCGCTCAGAACTATCAGGCATACGATGATGTTGAGTGCAGTTGACACAAGACCTAGTGCACCCCATGTTATGGAAAGCGGGATTAATACATTTGTGTCTACACCAGGGTAGCTTTCAGCGTCGGGTGTAAAAGAAGCCGAAGTGGATGTGTTGTTCACGGCTAGTTGCATCAGTAAATGAATGATGAATCCACACTTAAAAATGAGTCAGGCTTTCCTTTGTGTTCTTTAACTTCCTCTGTTCTTTGTTTTTTCCTCTTAGCCGTAGACAAACAGGGATTTGCAGCTGTTTCACTACCTTTATGAAATATGGCACAATGTTCGATTTCTTCAAGGGGGTCTCCTACTCTAGAGTTGTTTTGCTAAGGAAACACAACGATTTACCCGCAATCTTCGATTCAGAAAAGGATCAGCTGCGATTAGCGTATTAGCGATTAACGTAGCCAGTAACTGGTCCTTCTTCATCGACCTGTCAAGAATAGATGTTAAAACAACAGTTTAATGAAATAACTTTTACGAAGCTGACATATGCTCAGGAAAGAGCTAAACTAAATAAATATTTAATAGGAAACTGCTCGAAAAAGCGGTTTCGTACCATCGAGATCGATCCTTGTTCCTTCAGTTTTTTTTTCTCAGAAGATTTAAAAATAGAGATCTATTGAAGATTTTATTACAATAACAGCCAACGGGAATTTGATCAAGATTCAGTTTTTTTTTTGTTCCCGAACAACTTCTATTATGAGGACTTCATGCAAATGTGGCACCAGCGTCAATTACCCCAGACACAACCAAAATTGAAATTGCTTCATGACGAACCGTGTCTACCAATTATGCACCACTTCGTTTCTTTTTAGAAATAAACAGCTTAATATTTCACTAGACATTATCGTAGGTGGGTTTTATTTGATGCATAATGCTGTATGGTGCTTAGTAATTAAACAGGGACTACTTTGAGGTTTCTCAATGATGTCATTGTTCCTTACAAAGCTAAGTCGCTTAGGAACAGACTACTGGTGTTGTGGGAATGTCTTTGACATTAGTAAGCAATTTCCTGTATATATAAAAAAACAAAATCACTTTGACTGTAAATAATGCTGAAACCTGACTAATTTTACAACAAATTCTAAGATCTAGAACGGGTCTGGTAATAGGCTTGGAATGCTTAATTTCCTGACCCTCGAATAACCAGATTTTAACGCGTATTAACAAAGCTTCTCATTTCCCACTCCTTTTTGTTATGACTTTGTTTGCGTGCAAGCGAGAAAATATTATTGCGCAAAAACTCATTTATATCTAACAAAGACTCTGCATCAATATCCTGCATTCTTGCTGTAAGGCGAAAGCTTTGCTTGGAAATCAAAATGGAATAGTCAAGGTCCTTTGACCCATACCATAATATGATTATGCTTTTGATTTTGATGAGAAGCGAAGTCCTTTGAAAACGTCATTTCCATATTTGCGTTTTAAAGTAAAGAGAAAAAAATAAACTTAATCTATCATAAATTCAGGTCACGCCTTTTGATTTGGTTTGATTTTTACTGTAATTGGAAAAAATTCAACATTTGATCGAATTTTTTTTAACAGACCCGAGTCCTCGAAACTGAACACATACTGCAGCTTACCTCATTGTTTACTCACACATTTTCCCAAGTAATTAGTACTCTAAGAAACCAGTGTCCATTAAAAATGATTAATTTGGCAAGTCTTGTAGGTGATTTTAGATAAAACTGAAATTTCCTACCATCCCAGTGGATTGTTCCCCCTACACGTAGGAACAGTGATGATGAACAAAACAATACCTTTAACGAGAACCAAAACAAAGAAAATCAATTCTACTTGAATATCCATGTACATAAGCAAGAGCACTTGTCGGCCTTATCATATGAAAACAAACGGATATGTTCAAAACAGTTGTGAGATTTACCTCAGTATGTATTTAGCTGCACTTGTCTCTTTTTGAAATTAATGCAAAATAAACAGACAAAGAAAAGAGAAACAAAGAAACAAACATAAGACGTATAGCTTGGAGCACCTTAAACGAACAGCAAATTCCGGCTGATCAGAGAGCAGAGATGCGTATACCTAGGAACTAATCCTCTGTAAACACTATTTTGAACAAGAAGTTTAAACTTTATAGCGCATTTCGATTTAGTGCATGTTGTACAACGAAAACCAACGTCACTGCAGCAACCAATCAGAAGGAAAGACAGCCTAAAAGGAAGCCGATTGCAGCTCAAAGTCAAACCAAACACACGCTTAAAACGGGGGAAAACGTGAGTCTCTGCTAATTGGTTAAGAGGATGGTTAGATGGAGAAGCTTTCCAAATATTCATGCCAATTAGGAGAAATTTGAGACAGCAATCAGTCTGTCAAAAAATTAAACTCGAAGGAAACCAGGCAGCTGAATTGTTGAGTTAATCACCTCTATTCTGAAAAAGAGCTTTTGAATTAGAGGGGGCAAATATGTGCTCGGCATATATCAGGGGGAATGAGTTGATAATGCGACTTGGTCAGCGTAACAAGATTCTAAAGCTGACGTTTGTGTGCTAGCCCTTCGTCACGAAAGAGATGTTTAAAAAGAGTAGGACAAGGAAAAAGATAAATTAGAGTCGTTCCATGTTCGACCAATGAGTTACGCTGAACCCCTCCTTAAAAGAACTAAACCCAATGGTAGCTAGTCCATTTATGACAACCGTGCAACACTGTGACACTACTGAGATCAGCCGGCAATGTCAAAAGTGTAAATTTAATTAAGGACTGATTGAATCCCATTCCTTTGAGACCGATGACTAAGAGTTTTAGACCTTGAGTGAGTTATATCATTCTTACTTTGCTGTAGTGCCACACGTGAGGATTCTTAGATCTACATCATTCATTAAAGTTGTCTTGAAATGTTCCCTACCGTTAGAGCTACTACGGTGTATTAATCCGAAAAACAATGGAAGAAAAACAATAATATGTACGTACCAATTTTTAGTTTTAGGGTCCAGTGGAAACTATATGATTAGTAAAACTGGTAGAAACGAAAAACACTGCCAGCTTGCATTTCCTGATGATCAACGAAATGAAAGGTAACCAAAAATGCCAACAGCGTGCCTATTTTAAACATATGTTTGCTCCTTAATGGACACTTGACTTTGGTATGACCTTGTTAAAAGCTTCTGCTTTTTATAGCCTCAACCTCTACTAATTGAAAAGTCCTTTGTTTTGATGGCCAATCTTTATGGTTCAGTCTGCTTTACTTAGAGCTCAACAGGCAGGTAAATATCGATAAGCATACGCAAATCAGGCTAGCGTAAATGGGTAACAATACGAGAAGAAGAGATATCCTCTGATCAACCTCTTCGCATGCCTGAAACAGGGTGGCTACCTCGTTCAATTACGGAAATAATCCCCACACAAGAAAAAATTCTCAACTACTTCACCCCGTCGACCTCATTAGCAAGCTGCAGAGAAGTGAGCTAAAGCTGGATCTGTTATCTTTGACGGATGACTGAAAGAAAACAAACGGACCTCGTGTTGAATAAAGGGGGTAAGTTTCTAAAGAAACTGTGGTGCTGCGTCGGTGGGGGAGCATAAGAGGGAGTCGCTCTGACGAAGGGCTAACGCTTAAAACGTCAGCTTTGAAAGTCTTCACGGTGGTTAATTTACCTTATCAACTCAGTTGATAATACCAAATTACCCAGTACCTCGTGACGACCTTGCTCACTGCAGAGTCTATGTGGCTCAGTGGTGAGCGGCGGCGGGCGGAATCCGAAGGTCTGAAGTTTGATTCTTCACGGTGAGTGATAAGTTTTTACTTTGTGAACACACGAAAGAAAAAAAACATCATGTCCTTATAAAACAGAGTTCTGACAATAAACTAATTATGTTGTTGAAGGTTAAAAGCTTTAACCTACAGAACACAGGTAATGAAAAACATTACAGACATACCGACCGGAAATAGATAAGGATACCTGTACTTGACATTTAAAAAGGATTCTAGAAGAGCATTCCCCTCCCTACCCTCCCCCACCCCCCCCCCCATAAATAAGAAGAGGGAGAGTGTTGAGGGAGTGCTGCGTGACATTCCAAGGAACGGCTGCAAAGGCCCGTTTACCAGAAATCAACCACCAAGTATGGTTACATGAGAAAAGCCCTAATACCTTTATTGAAACGAGTTGTCTGTGGGATGATCTGAATTTGCCACTAAGGCTTCATTTAAGGAATTCAGTTGTGAGCAAAGATTCACAGTTTGTTTTAACGCTTGATTCTAAATAGTTTAAACTTTGATAATGTAATAATCTGTCGATTGCAATGTGATTACCCTATGCAATTTCATTATAAATACAATTTGTTGATGAGTGATGGGGAAAAACCACCTTTTCATCTTATTTTCACATTTGATTGCTAATTATACGGGGTCATCTTTGAATAAAAATGAAAATAATGTCAGCCTTAGAAAACAATCTGTAGTCTATTTCATTTTCTGTCAACAGCGATTGGCACGAAAGTGAAGGAAATATGATTTTTCATTTTCATGTTATTTTTTAATCGTTGAATATTCTGCCAGCACGATCTGATTCTAAATTTAAGAGTATCAGTTTGAAGTGGCGTCGACACCAGGTTATTTAATATTCTTGTGATGCAAATTTTACCAAAATGATTCGGCAGATTTATGACTGTACGTGATTTTAGTCGCAAAATCACATATTTTAGTAGAATTTTCCTGGAAAGATGAAATTTAATCCTCGAAACTAATTAAACCACAATTTTTCGTTCGCAATTTGTGCGTTACATTATTTTCTTTTCAGAAAAATACGCAAGACATACGGATAAGGATTATATCAATGGGGAAGTTAAAGTGTAGATATTAAGGAACGTGCTCTTGTATGACGCGGCAATTTGTCATAATATGATATTCACTATAGGAAATATCTGTTAAGAAACTCATATAAACAAGTCATAGCCACTTTGAACTAACATTTACCATTGGCTCATTCACAGCGCACGGAGGAAACATCAAATGAGATGTTTAAGTCCTTGAATAAATACGATTAACCACCCCATCCGCATTTTCTTTCTCTGGCGCTCAATTAAATTTTCTCACGTTCTGTTCGTTGTGTGTTACTTGTGAGTCATCACTCATCTTTGAATTGTAGATAAGATCCGCGTAAGTGACGAGCAGTTCGATATGTGATTGTTTCCAAGAAATTTTTCAGTCAGACCAACCAAGTTATATATCTGAGTCCTAGTTAAGGTTTGATCACTATATGACGACAGCTAATCGTGTGGCATTACTTTTCATGTCACCGCGCGTATTTTTCAGATTTCACATCCGTTGTTTTGTTTCAAAAGTAAATATAGATTCATTGACAGTTTTCATTGCCATTGTTCCCCCTGGAACTGAGAGGGTAGACCCTCTTCACTAACAAAACACGAGTGGTCTATATCTTTCACTCGATTATGCTGAAGACGAAATAGACCAAATTCCCCGGCATACGTAATTTTACAATTTGGTGTCTTGCCCTTAGGGAACAATCCTTTGAAGGTGCCTTTTCCCACGCGAACGTAGGGTTTAAGCAATTTCGGCATCAAAAGAAAACCTAATTTAGCCAGTGAAAATCTTTTAGAAATCTATTGGAATGAATAATAAAAACCACAAATGCAAAAAGACAACTGTTTATTGAGCTTTCCGGAACTCTTTGAGCTCGAAAGATTTTAATTTATGTAGTGTCTTGAAACAAGAATAGTTTAAGTCAGGTCGATTGAAACTGAGAGGGTAGACCCTCTTTACTAACAAAACACGAGTGGTCTATATCTTTCACTCGATTATGCTGAAGACGAAACAGACCAAATTCCCCGGCATACGTAATTTTACAATTTGGTGTCTTGCCCTTAGGGAACAATCCTTTGAAGGTGCCTTTTCCCACGCGAACGTAGGGTTTAAGCAATTTCGGCATCTAAAGAAAACCTAATTTAGCCAGTGAAAATCTTTTAGAAATCTATTGGAATGAATAATAAAAACCACTAATGCAAAAAGAAAACTGTTTATTGAGCTTTCCGGAACTCTTTGAGCTCGAAAGATTTTAATTTATGTAGTGTCTTGAAACAAGAATAGTTTAAGTCAGGTCGATTGAAACAAAGAAAAGTTTACTTTTGAAGTGATTGATTAGCAAGATTTTTGATAGCCTCTGTTCGCCCCATGTTTTTCAAAAATCGATAGCACTTTGAATCAACACAGAGACACAACTTAGTTAAACTTATCAAAGAAACCGTGAACATGTTTTAAAATTATGATCACATATGCAAGATATAGAGACACTTTAGAGATAATCCTAAACAAAACTAGCTGCATTACACAATTGTTTAACCTTATATAGTAAGATATGAATCGTAAAAAGAATAGAAAATATTCTGTTCTACCTGCATCTTTTCTTCCAGGTTAAAATTCTCTTCGAGAGGAGAGTGAAGTATGCTACAATTTGAACGTCTTTCGTTAATAAAAGTAGCTTAAAAAACGCCATTGAACGAGAGCACTTTTGCTCTAGAAATGAAAAAGCATGTAATTATTAAGTTAGATCTAGCAGTCTTGTAAATGGACAAAATTACACAATTACAGACACAAGTACAGGAAGTACATGTCATGGTGATAAATGGGAAAATACGAATGTAAAACTTGACTGAAGAAGCGGATATTGTAGTATCATTCACTCCGCCCCCTCAAAGTTCACTGTAGATCTAAACAGTTTCAAATTTCTTCAATAGCTTACTGAAATAAGATTCATTCATCTCTTTATTAATTTAAAAGGAAAATTGTAATATTTTTCCTTAGTAAGGAAAACAGCTAACTTGGGATGAGAAAAAAGAATAACTTTATAACCAAAGGCGTTAATTTTACCTTGACAGAGCCATGTTCATATTTAAACAAACTTCTTCTTTCTTTTTGAAATAAATAATATTCAGACACAAGAAAATAAACAGTCGGAATTATAATGCCATTCACAAATTCATGCCGAACCAATTTGTAATGGTTTATAATTTAAGACTGCTGCTTTGCTTTCCAAATTAAAAAAGAAAAACGAAAAGTATATTTGGACGTGCTGTTATTTTTTTTATGCAATTGCAATCATGTTCTTAATTGGTTAGATTGGATGGCCTAGAGGAACAAAAACGCTTTGTCATCGCACTTGTCTCACTGAAAATATAATTACCCCTTTTTCTTATTTTTCACTCTAGTTTTTTTTTTAAGCCTTGTATACGCCAATAAAGACTGGACTTTGTCCTCTCTTGCGCCAGTATCATACTAACAACAGTTCCGCAAAAATCTGAGTTGCGTAAGATCTGGCTTAAATTCTGAAGGTAGATCGGGGATATTGAGCGCGCTGCAGATCAGCATGACATAACATTCCAAGACAATATAATGTAATCTCTCAGCCTGAGCTAAATAACTCTGATACACCGCAATAAAAGAAAAACCCTTCGATGGAAGTGTGTTTATTAAGTTTTGAAATTCCACTTTAAGGAAAGATCGTGATTAAAATAGTCTGTTAGTCTATGATTTGCAGGAAATCAAGCGCCATGTTGGATTGTCACCGTGCCAAATTGAGACTATTTCTAAAATTGCATGTAATAACCTAAGATCGTCGAGGAAGTCTACATAGTATTTTGAATTTGACACTGCAAGGGAGATCGAAGGAAAGAAATTGGCCCCGTCTTCTTTTTTTTTCTTTTTATGGAAAATGTATGTTCCTAAAGTAACGCACCTCATAGGTGTCTCTTCATCGGAAATCATAGTTAATCATACCTTTCTCACAAATTTTATAGTTCTTGATGAGAAAAGAAAAAAAGTAAAACGTAAGGTAATATGAACTTTTAAATCCAAGGACAAAGATATAAGAATCCTTAGTTTGCTATCTGCACATAACTTGCTTCCGTGGTTTCTAGTGAAAATGAAAACATATTGAATTTCGTGTGTGTGCTAGCTGTAGAGGTGTTTTAGTAATATAATCTAATAAAGAGATATTTACGTTCCATATCCTTTACCTTTGTTTACTGCACGTGTATCTCCAAAAATGGCTAAACGAAGCTGAGAAGTAGTTAGTCTTGTTCCCATTCCAAAGAAAAATACATACCCTAAGTAAGTTATATTTTCATGGACAAACGGAATCCAATTATATCGAGAGCTTTCATTTGGCCACCCGAATTGAAGGCTTAGAATGTCAATCATGACGAACTGTTTTTATTTTTAGAAACTGCAAATGAAGCTTTAATATGTCTCAAAAAATCAGATTAACTTTTTTTTTTACAAAGATGAGGCGTATTTTATTTATCGACCTATCCTTCTTTAATCAGATATTATTTTTCACTCTTTGATTAGGATGAAATTTCTTTTACTCTCTATTTCTGAACATCAAAAAAAAAAAAAAAAAAGCGTGCAGCAGAGAACGCTCTGCCTATGAATTAACAATTCTATACATTTTATTAAGTTTGAGTTTGAACAAGCACATGTTCAACAGAAGTCTTGCCTGGGGCAATACTTTCGTCATGACTCCAATATACATTTCCTATTTCAGTGTTCATTCAAAGGATCTTTGAAACGCTTCATATAAATAATCCGTTAATTCGTTAGAAGAGGCATTAAGAACATTGAAATGTTGTTCTATTTAGACCCTACCATGAAACCTCGAGAGAGAATTGAACACTTGCTTTTTGCGTTCTACGGGGATGGATCCTCCTTTACTCAAGAGTGACATAGGCCTACACGATTTCGTGAAATTAATGTAAGACTTGATTCATTGTCTTCATTCTTATGGATAACATTTCTAAATAACATTAAAGCAAAGCGAAGAATTATTTTGTAAGGCCCGCTGACGGTAGTAGAGGAGGGGAAAGTGGACTGCTTAGCAAAATTTGGAACAAAGATAATCTCTCCTGTAATCTAAACCTTTTGCGACAAAAGTTCTCATTTGATGTCACGTTGATAATTAATTAAAAAAGAATTAGGCAATGAGAACCTAAAGTTCAAAGGTGTACACGGCTTCAAGCGCGGGAAAATACAAAGAACCTAAATGCCATAGGATTTCGTTTGCATTTCATTGGTTGCAAGTTCTCCGACTTAACCAATCAGAGAGCGTTATGAAGCAAAACCAAGGCCCACTATTCAAGACCTACTTTTGATACTCGATTGGAAATCGTCATAATTGGTCAAATCTAAAACTGCCTATTAGCTATTTATTTACAAGAAACAAATTTCTAAGCAACTGCCACTTTTTCCATGGAAATGTTATCCGGGGATGTTTTTAGGAATTTATTTGATATTCTGGAAATTAGAGGGAAATTTTCAAAGTGTTTGTAACCCCCCCGTCTAAGAAGTTATGCACCCGTCTGAATAGGTTACAAGGCACCACATAACTGATACAGTTGGGGCGCGGAATATTTGAAAGAAAAAAAAATGGTTCCATCTAGTTCGTCCTTTGCATGTTTTTTCTTCTGATACAAAAAGCTCTCGCGTTGTTTACACGCCACGGCTAACAACATTTTTGGCACAATTGTTTTCTTGTCTTGTAACACATTATCCATCAAAACAAACGCAGCCGCTTAGCCTTGCTGCAAAAGAATACGTTTTTGTCCCGGTCAAAATATCCTGCAGGCTGTGCTGACCTCATTAATCTCATTGCTGTTTCCAATTATCACGTTTGTCCCAATTAGTCCCGAAAAGTCCTTTCTTTCAGAACTATTGTCATAAAGAAAAAAAGTTATTCATACTACTAGAAAATGGCCTGGCTAAAGGGGGAATTATTCACGTTTTGTGATTTCATTGGGCTTTGTTCGCCAATAGCTTCTAGAACAATATTTATTCAAGTACAAACTATTCAGTAAGCCTGGAATTGTTCATTGGATTGAAAAGGAGAATATTGTATTCATTAAGAGATAACGCAACATGCGTTCTTTGCATTTAGTCCTACTAATGGAAGATGTGATAAAAGCGACAGATAGGCAGCGACCCCACAGGAGCAAAATTTATTTCCGGTAATTTTCGTCTACGGTAAAAAACAGAGGGATGCGAGAATATCAACTAAACACTTAATACAAAAGAGCGGCAAGCATGCTAAAAGCAATTCGTATCGAGCATGTTTTTACAAAAAAATTGTTGTTTTACCACCAAGATATGGTCATTCAGAATAAAATAGTTAAATTATCCTTGAATGCCTACCCCTCCCCCCCCTCTTTGATGTAAAAACGAAGATATGCAGAACATAATACAAACACCTTTGTCTCATTTTCATTCGCAAGGTTCTCGGCTTGGTCGAGTTTTTCGGAGTTTTGAGCGCCCTAACCGCAGACTTATTCTAGAAAAAGAAAACTAAATTTTTCTGGGACGTAATCGTACCGCCTGCGGTCAAGTTGGCAGAATGTTTTCGTTTCTTCGGCAGGTAAAACATAATGGACATCAACTGCATTTCTTAATTACAAAAACTACTATTGGAATCGATCGATTGCATCTCATTTTCAACGTCTCAAATAACAGCCAGAGGTTTTTTTGTCTTTGATTTTAACCCATCTCGAAATGTAAATGGTGTCTGCAAAAAAACACACATTATATTCTTAATCTAAGTTTCTTACATTAAAAATTTGCAATTTTTCTCTTTTTAAGCGATAATAATTTTATCATATGTTGCATATTTATCAGTTTACGATGGTTCGTCGGCGGACTGCACGAAAATGTATTATAGTCATGATATATCGACTGCTCTATGCCATTAATATAAATTGAGAAACATATTTCAGATTTTTTCAAGCATTGTTTAAACTCGCATTTTGGTGATAAATATCTACATTTAATGTCCATCTCAATGGCACTGGCTATCAAGTAGCCATTAAAACACATATCATCTCATAATCATTGACTTAATGTTCACCCTATTGCTTTATTTTGGCTGTTCTTACCACCCATGAAGCGAACGAATCTGTGATCGCAAATTTATTGATGTTTCTCTTATGTCGTCACTTACGCATGCAACGTCTCAACAACTCTACGCGTTGATTTTGAGGTCTAGAACCTAAAAGATATCTGACGGGCCTTTTTATACTTGAAGCATCGTCGTGATCACAAAATTCAGTTAATTAGCCCCCGTGTGGAACACTCGAGAAGCGGTTTTCAGAACCACTTGTAAAAACATTGTTGAATAATCAGCAATTGTGGGGATAGCTATTTCCTTAGAAGCTCCAAGCCGATCTGTCAAGGTTCACTTCCAATAAAATTCCTAAAAAACGTTCGATTCTGGTCTTTGAACTATGACATTGGCTTGAAGTTTCGCAGTATTATGATGTCGGTTCAAGATTTTAAAGAAGTAAACGCTGTACATGAGTACAAAACGTTTGGTTTAACGCAGACTGCTTTGAGGTTAAAAAGTGTTTGGGGACAGATGTACGATACATCTCGTTAAACTTACCAGTTTAAGAGCCTTCATCCAACTCTGCAATTTCTCCAGGGATTCATACATGTTCTTACAGAGTAAGGAATGTAGACGATCTGTGGATTATCAAACGCGCAATTATTCATCTGCTTTTAGCAACCTTATTATCATTATAATTGGACTGTTGACAATACCTTCGCACCATATTGTTCCAAGGTGGATTTAGGATGGATTTGTACTATCGATTTTCTGGTGGAAAGTAAATACAGATCATTATTGCATTCTCTGTGACGACAGATGGAAAACACGTGTTTGGTTGAGTTAAATAAAACGGAAGAGCAATGGCTCGTGCACGATATTCACCGCAAAGTTCTATTTGCTTCCCTGGCGCTTCGGTATAGTTAGTATTAGAAATATAATTATTTCTCATAATAACATTTGCCGACTTTATTGTGAACTCTTTATTTCCCAAGAGAAATTGGGCTTAATAGACGGTAAACGTAGATATAAATTGTCTATATTGGGGGGAGGGGGGGGGGGAAGGATTGGATGGAAGATTGGAAGATTAGTCAGGTCTTGATAATCATGTAAAGAAAGGTAAGTCCCTGTGGAATTTCATCGATTGGAGCTCGGCTATAGTCACAATTGTCTATAACTGTATCCCTTACGACGTTTAAAAATTGCCTTTCAATTCAAAGTTCTATTATCCGGCATAGGTACATAGATGAACATATCACAACTCAGCGCTAGGAGCCCATGTCGCAACCTTTGGGATGTAACATATTCCTTGTTAGAGCCTGAAGAATCTTTTCGCAACTAAGTGAGATCTCTCCACTAAAATAGTTATTGCACGCAAAACTTGAATATCTCTCTAATAATTAGTTTTCTTGTGTAGTTTTCGAATAGGATTTGTCAATTTCGTGCTTCTCAAAGGAGTGAAAGCCAGGTATTCATCAGACATTCTCGACTACATTGCATCAAATTAAACTAAACCAGAAGTTAAATAGTAATTGAATTAGCTGTACTGTAGTAAGATTGGAAACTTGCTCAGTCACAACTTGCTATAGATTAGATGTTGGGCTATCAGTGGCGCGAACAATTCGTAGCGCAAGTAGCAAAGAGAAGACTGTGAAAACCCAGATGAATTATGATCAAATGCAGCAGCAATTAAGTGGCTGCTTTTTTTTCGTGATCGAACCAAAGCTCTTTTTCTAATGTGACTAAATCCCTATTTGATCTTGGTTTTTTTTCCCAAACACAATAAAGCCTCATTAGCCTCATTTGTATTAAAACACTTTACTCTGTAACGCAGCTAACGCGGGTAATTGGATAGTTCGCCGCCCAGAGCATTGAACGGTTCTTTTTCCTTAAATTCATGACGCAGAACGACAAATTTTCAGCAATTAGCCTTGTCGTTTTCGTGCCCCGAGACAGAACAGCCCACGGAAAAATGACGTCAACAGAACGGATTCAAGTATAGTTTCCATTGCTCTGTGACGACCTTTGTAAATGAACTGTTACTTAGCCCTGAGGGAGCGATAATCGATCTCAGAAAAATCAAAAGAAAAAACAGCGCTGATGAGTCCAATGAAATTCTCTACTCGCCTTTGAGGTTTGAAAACCAGAATTTAAAATGACGAAAATGCATTGACTCTTATTAATGCAATTATTTGTGGCGAGATCAAAGGTATTAACGCAATGATTTGCTGTGTTTTTATTGGTCACATTATTAGTAAAGGCTAACAAACAGCTGCGCACCGTTGTACTGACTGACAATTGTATAACCTGCGCTTCAAAATTGCCCACAAGAAAAATATATATTTTTCTTTTTAACAAGATTTAAAAGAAGCAACAACGACTCGATGAAACACATTGTAAGAGCAAAACACGGGCCTCAAAACTGAAATGATATCTGAGTTCGAATTATGTATAAGCATAAGATTGATTTTTTTTCAAATGCTATGTACTGTACAAATCGAATTACTTCAGTTCACTGATACAAATTTTAATAGGAGTCGAACGAGGAAACTTTCCGGATAGAAAATTCTATTAAACAGACTCAGAAATTGAATCAGTCATCCAAATTCAGTATTGTGCACTATAAGATTTAGTTCAGACCATCCTCAAATTCAATTTGTTCCATCACAGTTGTGCTTTGCGATGAAAAAATAAGATGATTGCGTTATCAACTCTTGACCAAACGAACTTTTTTTGTTTATGCGGAATTTTAAGAAAATCATTTAGTTAACTGATCGAGAAGAAAATAATTTAGCTTACCTTGCCTTTGGAACTCTTTGAAAGAGACGAATCTATTGACTTGTTTTCGAACACAACTTCTAAAAGTTATCAAAGCCTATGATAAGAAATCAAATGATACATTTACTAATGATGCTATTTGTAATGTATTTTTAGGCGTTATCGTCGGAAATGTACATCGCATTTCGCCGGCTCCGGCAGTTGGCCACAATAAACATTTCCAGAGATCCGACCTTGAAAACTGATTGACATAGAAATTTTTTATGTCGATTATACCGGTTGGAAATTGAGAAATATTCCATTTACCTCGAGTTTGATTCACCGAGAGTGTCTGGCGGTTGAAGCGTGTAACCATTCAATTAGCTTTGTGTTGCTATCAGCAAAATCTGCCAAATGATACATCAGTGTTATGCATGGTGGTTAATTTAAAAATACTCGATATTTTCGATCGTGTCAATTTACAATATAAAATACTTTCGAATATCATGTGTCGGAGGTTTATGAAACGATTTGGTCTTACCCAACTCATAAGCCTAATTCAGTTGTTAGAAAATTCGGTAGATATGTGATTCCATAGTGACTATTGAATAAGCTCAATGTTGAATATTAAAGTTCTGATTCTCTATTTCACCATTGGTTTGAATTTCAAATTAATTTCTGGTCCGCAATATTTTTGTTGCACTGTTAGTTATCGGGGATTTGTGGAAAATGATGTAGCTGAGATAATGCCATCTCTTCTCAAAGCATTAGAGACGCACTTTGAGAAACCAGTTGTTGTCGCAATGCTTATGAATATCGGATTACACACAGTCTTAAAAAGATTTTAGATAATATTCTCAAATATTTAAAACAGAACGAGTTGTGCGCCACAGTTTGATTCTCGTTCCAAATTTGTAATTCATTTCTAGTGCGCAATAAATGTCTCTGTGTAAGTCATCGTGGATTTTTGGGCGATGGTACATCTACAATAATAGTACCTTCTCTTTCCAAGGTATTGAGAAAAACATTTTGAAACACCACTCATTATCGCTATACCTGTAAATATCAGATCGCAAATAGATCTAAAGGGATTTGAAATGACATTCGCAAATACATGAAACTACGCAAGTGGTGCGTTGCAGTTTAATTCTGGATCCAAAATAAATAGGTTTGTCAGAATTGTCAACGAGTCGTAATAGACATTAGTTTTTCTCGTGTACTCCACTTCAAACCGAAACAAAAACACAATTAATTCAATTTATTGCTTCGCCTATCATAGAGGAACATTTAGATTATGAACTCAAATTCAGCTAAGCTCTTTGTTTTTAACTGACAAGAGATAAATTGTGGCTAACATTAGCCTCGCTTAACTATGGCATTATGTTTAGCCCAGCGAATTTTCAGGCGTCCCATCTCAGTCAAAATGGCACACTTTTCTGAAAGTCCCAATTTAACAACTATATTTTTGTTCAAGCCTTCATTACAACAAAAACACAAATTATCACGTAACTTAATTGAAATTGACTGTGCTAGTAAATAAATAATTCTTTGCAGTAATTTCATGGTCCACTCTTTCCACAGACAGACATCAAAGCACCACGGACTAATTTCAGGCTTACAAAACTTGTTGATATCGTTGATACAACCATGGAAATGCCAAGTTGTGTTTAGACCATCTCTGGCACATCTTTAATCCAAAAACTTTATAACGAACTTTCAATATTTCTTTCTTAGCACTTGGATGGTTGCTAGTAAAAAGTCCCCGTCGTAAAAATTATATTTTTCATTCTTTAAAAAAAAAATAATAATCGATAGAAAAAAATTGCAGTAACCTAGCCGTGGCTTTCATGAAATTTGAAAGACATCATTCGAAGTATGCAAGAGAGCTTTTAAGAAAAAAATTCAATTTTTTTGTAGTAAGATAAATCAATGGCCTGGCCTGGCTTGTACCTCACTCCCCGTCACTGACAACCGAACAACGGTTGTTGTAAATTCCGCCTCACCGTTTCCATCTATAGGCACAGGTTCTGATTAAATTATACTCCATAGCGTAATCATTTTTAAAAATTCTTTCAGAGGTTTTCCATACAAAAGGAAAAAACAAAAAACACAATAACAAAAACAAACTAATAAAAACATCAAGCTCAATTTACTGCCTACGGTAGCTTGTCCACCAGATAGCAATTTCCAATTAAGTTTAGATGCAATGCATCCTTGCCATCTCCAGCGTTATCACAGCTGAATTTTATTCGTGAAGCTCTCAGCTAACCGAAAGATCTTTTTAGAATTAACACTTAAATTTTTACTTTTGCCGTCTTAGTCAAAATAGTCGTTCAATAACATTCATTTTCAACGTGCTAAAATAGGTAGTTATGACACTTTTTGGTGTCTCCGTTGTTAGGGGTATGTAACCTCCTCAAAGTTATTGGTTTTCAAAGAGAGCCTTCTTAAACCCATGTCAGAATCTTCTTTGGGGTGGCCATTTTGGTCTTTGCCGGGACATTTGAGCCTTAAGCGCTTCTTCAACATCTCACGAAAGTCTTTTTTATAAAGTGCAAAGATTACAGGGTCCAGTATAGAGTTGAGAACTAAGGTGTAAAAAGAGATTAGTATTAGTTCATGAGAGAGAAGATGTCTCTGGTCTGTTATCAAACAGATGTTGATGTAGATGAGAGGAAGCCAACAAACAAGGAACATCGCAAGAACGATGGCAAATACTCCAGCTGCTTTCTCTTCGTTGCCCGCCCGGTATCCGGTATTGTTACCTTTGCACGTCCGTTTCTTATTTCTTATCACAAAACGATGTACCACCCTTAACAGACCCATGTAAACACACACCATTGTCGTACATGGAATGAAGATGCAAGTGGCCAAAATAGTCGCCAGGTAGGCTTTGTGAATGGTGGAAGTCGCGTCGGTGTTCCAAGCCAACGGAAGAAGAGACAGAATCAGTGGAAGGATCCAAGAGATACTGATAATAACGGTCACATTTTGGTTGTTAATGATCGCTCGATAACGAAAAGGTCGTGTCAACGCGATATAACGCTCGTACGTGACGCCACAGAGATTGAAAACCGTTGTTAATAAGACGAAGGCCACAAAATAGCCTGCGATGACTGTCTTGACGTAATGATCGATGATGTACACAGGGACAAACACAACCGCTACCATCAGATCAGAGATAGACAAGCTGAGAACAAGATAGTTTGTCATTGTGCGAAGCTTTTTGTTAAAGATCACCATGGCGCACACGAAAAGGTTCAATCCAGCAGAGATAAGTCCGAGTAATGCCCACGATACTATTAAAGCGCGAAATGTTCTGGCATCTACTGGTTCTGAAAAGTAACTGTTCACCTCCACGGCTGTCGTGTTTCCCATATTGAACAGAATCCCGATGTAATCTTACGTATTCATCTTCAGCGCCTCATTTTCAGCTACTACTAAAACCAAATTGCCTCTAGTGAAATCAAAATTTTGTCTCAAACATGCTTCTCTCAAGTCACCTGAGGTTGAAACGGTCTTGTTCTCGGATAAAACACGCCTGAAATAAGCCGTTACGGTTGTTATTTTTTGGACATAAGTCGAAAGCAACTGCGGTTTACCTTAAAGAATAACTGATAAGAAATGAACCTGTCTTGAGGAAATCCTTTTAATAGTCTGGAGTATTTTCTCTTCGTTGCCATTGGAGGAAAATAATAGGTATCGCTTTGTTTTCCTACGCTATAGATCTTTTGTTAAAGCTAGGCAGATTAAGGGCCGAGATCCATGCATTATTCGTGCACGTTACGAATTAATCACTTTGTTTCTCTATGGCTTTAGTTCTAAGATTGCAGCTATAGGCTGAGAATAAGATGAAAAACCCTTTCTTGTTCAGCAGCAATGATTAAAATCTGGTGGTAACTTGACGTCCCTTCATATGCAAACCCTATCGAATATTTGATTAAAAGACTGCACAAAAGTGATCAGCGCGAAAAAATATTTTGAATAGCAGAATCTCCCTTGATAAAAAAAAAAAAAAAAGCGACAAATACTAAATTTTCCTCGAGCTTTTTTTTAAAGTGGATTAATAAGAGGACCCGGAATTAGTAATTTAATTCTTTGCAACCGCTGTCAACAAAAAATTTCTCATGAGTGGCAAAAAAAACAGACCTACATTCAGGATTTTTAGATTCTTAGATACATCAACACAAACTTGCATTTGTGGTCTCGTAAAAGGCATACTGAAGCATAGCTTCAACACGATTGTCGCCATATACAAGAATCTTGACCAATTTAAGTAGGGACAAATTCACGCGATATCAAAAATTGCAGCTTTCTTTATGAACGTGATCGCGATCACGTAACGTATATGGTCCATAAGTCGTCTGTTACGTGCGTGATTCACTTCAAAGCAATTTCCAGAAATAACAACTCGTTTATGACCTCGTTCAAAAATGCGTGCGCTTTAAAGAAGCTTTCAAAAGCACTTTGTTTGCTCCGTAATTGCTTTAGCACAATTGTTTGGCATTTTAGTTGTCCTTGCGTCCAAAAACACAAGCTGAATTTTAAAAAAAGGGAAATACCTTGCGTGTACAGTCGAATATTTTCGGATATTTATTCGCATACTTTCTTTCTTCGAAAATCTTAATCAGTTTGTTTTTTTTTTTTTCGGATATAATCTTCTTATCCTGCCACCAGAAATAACTGACGTAGATATCTATTGTAAATTAGAACATCCTGAAAGAATTGTTTTAAATACGTGTACATTATCGACACCTAGTATTAAAATCGCGGTTGCTTTCTTTATGAAAACATGAATTTTAAATTACAACTTGCTCAGAAAATTGCCATTATTAGTGTCGAAATGACCGTATTTTGATTGTATGCAAACTTTCCCGCTGAGGGATAACACAGAGCAACAAAGTGCTTCACTATTGTCATCCATTTGAAAGCTGCCAAAGTTTCTCGCCAGCTTTTCTTGCCGTCTCACCTGAACTGTTTGTCAGGTGATAGATCTAAGGTAATGATATCATACATACATACCTACATGCAAACATAAAAGATTGACGATCATGTAATTTGCAACTTTTTCCAGGGAGAGGGTGATTAACATGCAAGAGTGTACATATTATGAAACGTCTATCGGTCGCGTAACGAAAACGCTGACGAAATAATTAGTGGGAAAGATAAGAAATAAATTGTTTCCTCTATGGGAAAATCTAACCTCTGCATGACCATCGCAATTGCTCGGTTTCTTTACCTAGATATTCCCAATGTTACATAACTATCAGTGTAGTTTCTTTCCCAGATGTTAGCTTTAGCGGTAGACTTACCGGACTGAATGCGCCTTTCGAGAAATTTCGATTAATTTTTGATGGGGGAAAAATCGATACGATTAACTAAGTCATGTGTCTGGCACAATTTCATAAATTTGCAAAAGCAGTAAATGATCGCAATATCGAAAAAATTTACATCAGCTGCTCAGATCTATGATTTTCTAAGTAGAGCTATGAGCGTAAGGATCGAACACATGCGAATCTTAAAGAAAATCATACAACGGGAACAAAATGTCCAATTTAATTTGTTTAGAAAAATTGGTTCACTTTCCAAGATGTGTGGAACGCGATGAGTTCCCTTTGAGATAGAATGTCAAACCAAAAGAGCATTGATACAGTAAATGATCTGAACCCCGGGGTAACAGTCTGAACGTCAAGGTGAGGGTAGTCCTGATGATAGCGATGGTTGTATAAAAAAATTTATCCAAGACAATCATATTATGATATTCATCCAGTAGTCTAAAAAAGTAAAAAAAGTTAAAAGTATGCGAGCCATATTCTTCAGGTGTACAACGAGTTGTTACTTGTGTGGTTTTCAGGTTAGAGCAATTTACAACTGAGTGTCGAAAATACTCCGGGTTGCATTGGTTTTGCTTTTCTCCGCTCTGTGATTGGTCCAAAAGAACTTGCGCCACTCTCTCAACCAATCAGGTGCAAAACCAAAGCCAATCACGACTTGGTCACCCGCGTTTTCCCTCGCTTTGGACCGTTTACTGTTTACTTCGAGTTCTCATCGGTTCTTGCAGTTATTTTCCCATCTTCTGATTGGGTCTTGTGATAACTTTGGTTTTGTGTTTACGACACTCAATCGGAAACGCTCTACGAGCCAGTAATCACCAACTGCTACAAAATTACATCGTTTAGACAGCAACGAACTAAAAGTGACAATCTTTTCACATTTACACATTCAAAAACTGATTCACTTCCTAATCATCCTCTGACTAATAAGAAAAAACCGAACATGCTACTTCTGCTTGATGTTCTTTACTGTGACTATTAAGAGGGAAAATGATTAGAATCCTCAAAGGATCTTAACATTTGTTTATATGATATTTTCCAATTTCTTTTCAAAAACAGTAAGAGGCTAAAACATATCCTTGGTGCTGGAGTTTATTAATTTCAAAACTCGTGGTACACCACCTCGTCCCTATCAAAAAAAGGATTAAAATCACAGTCAATGATTAGAGCTAAATATATATTTCCACGAATGCAGTTCTGGGATTTCTAAGTTTTCAGAGTGATAGACTGAGTAATTTCCAGTTGAGTGTCGGAGGTAATGTGGGTTTGCTTTGGTTGCGCCACTTTCGAATTCCCAACCATCAATATTCAAAATTAAAACCAATGATGACTTGGTCAGTCGCGTTCTGTTACGCTTTAGGCGGTTCGCCTGTTTGCTTTGAGTTTTTTTTATTTCACGACTCTCCGTCGAAATGCCATCAATTGTTACGATAACAATCACCTATTTTAATCGATTAAAATTTTTTTTCGCTGAGGAGTTGGTAACCCAATGATTTACTGAAGCGAAAAAAGGAAATCAGGAAATGAAATAGATATGTAGATCTCGCTTCCACTTCGGTGGAGGTAAATATCCAAATGATATAAGTTTGCGAGAAAGCATGAAACTTAGAGGAAACACCGAGAGGCTGCCGTTGTACTCTGCACACTCTGAGAAAAATCTACGATTGCGTCAAGAACTGCCCCCAAAATTATTAGGAAACTTAAGCACAAACGGTTTTTAGACGCGATGGTAGCCAGAAGATAAAGTTATCATGCCTGGTGCGCCTTTTACCATTTTTGTCCGAATAAATCATTTAGATTAAGCATACTAAAACGACATTCACACGACAAATACATTGGGGTCAAAGTGCGTAAGAATTAGTTTCATTCCTCTTCCGGATGCCATCGCTTCTCTTCAACGTCTCTGCTTAAATAACCTCTATTAAGAAAAAACTATAACGAGTTACTTGTTCCTGTGTTCGATGTACGTGTTGTTCGTGGACTTACGTACTGTAAGTGGGACAAGCATAAACATTCATTTCAAATACCGCAGTTCTCAGTGTTTTTAAATTAGACATTTACCCGTCATCGTATATTCTGTTCACTGCATAGTTTAATTCATCGGTTCCCCTGCAAAAAATAAAAGCAGATAACGTGAAAAACTGTAATAACGACTCTTAAAAGTGACTTTACTCTGTCAGTTTACACCTGACTGTGGACCAAATCAATCATCAGCAGTGTTCGTTTTGGAAGTTAAAAATTGTGATTGAAAAATCACAAGTAAAGACGTCAAGTGCAGAAAAAAACCATCGAATGATATGCTTGCAGAGATGGGTGCATAGGATAAGTTTATCAATAGATTTTTGTGAAGGCCAAAGTCTTATAAAGAACTGGAGTACACCATATTTAACGTAAGTAAATGGTCTGTGAGTCAGTCAGTATACTCAGAAAGATGTGCTAAGACGTTTTTTTCTTTCAGACGAACAAACAAACAAACAAAACTAGAAATGATTTCTACTCACTTCTGAAATGCGACTGAGTTGATGTCCTTATTCCTTTTAGCTCTCCTATTTAAAAACAGGTTTACAAAGTCACATCATAGGAAAGAAAACCATAGGTAAGAGTTTAATCGTTATACAATGTAAATATCATATAAACATCTTCATGTCTTGTTCATGAGTTAAGCCTGTACATTTCAAGTTTTTTGATACCGTCGCTAGACAACGAATTTCCCCGTTTAGAGCTCGTTCTCACCTTTTCCAGTAAAATACACCCAAGGCAGCGATCAAAATGCTTAATATCACGGGTAACACCACAGCAAGTACATTGACACCTGTCAAAAGATGAACGCATCTACCCAGTTAAACATTCAAGTACAAGGAGTTGGTTTCCCTCGTATCTCAAAAATAAATGCCTTGCCACATTGACTCATCTTCAAGAGAGCAGGAGATAAACACTTTATTCGTGTTACTCGAACTTGGGAAATTAGTCTGAAATTGGGTGTGGTTTTCTTCGAGACTAACGCGGATCAGCCCTTTTGCTGACCAAAATTCTGAAACTATAGGCTATCAACAGCGAAGGGAAAAAGCCTTTAACAGAGTTCAATATGAAAAAACTGGTGATAGATGATGACTCTAGACTGTGCGATCACAATCTACTTACCGTTTTATTACCTTGCTCAACGTAAGTCGAATGTTTTTGTGAATTGCAATAGACAAAAAAATTCACATGATGATGATTAAATTGGTTAACTCCTCAACGATAGTTGGTGAGATAAAAATGTTTAATTATGCTGCCCAGTTTCAATAATTTCCTTTGTGTTGGATGTTAAGCCTCCATACGCACGGGTTTTGTTTTCTTAACGCATCATCTGACGCGACAACACAACAATTAGACAAAATTTTCAGCGGCACCTTCTGTTTTCCGGTTCCCTCTGCTCGCTGCGGGTCTTCCCTCTTCTCTGCCGTTTTTAGCTTTTGTCGTCATTTCGGATGGTGGTGCCGTTGGCGAATAGGTAAGCGCTAGGAGGTCAAAGAAAGTTTCAAATTCAGGTTTCAGGTTTTTCTTACTAAAAAATTGAAACATGTTCAAGAATTCGCGGTGACAACATGATACCGAAAAGACTAAATTGAATGGTTGCTAATTTGCACAGA